GGTATAGTTGTGAAAGCAAGGGGCCTGGCGTGTCTGGTGAAATTTAATCTGGGTGGTAAAGACTCCGGGTAACTGTTCATGTTGGAGGCAGGGAGGCAAGTTGATTTTAAAGCTATGGTACAGTATTTGGCTGGGGTGTGACCAGCTTATACATGGGATGGGCAAGGTGCAGATGATTACTTACTTGTGAATGGGACGCATCATGACCAAAATAAAGGAGTTAATTATTCTCGTATTTATGACACTAACTCATTTTTTTAAGAATTGCATCTTGTTCATTTGCTTTGGTGCAGCTACACTTCTTACTTTAACTTCTGACTGCTAAATGATAAATACAGATAGACTGACTCATATTTGTTGCAATTGACACTGTTTTCACAGGTCAGTGATGACCAGAGTCAATCAACTCTTAACCATTTCATACATCTGCAAGAGAGGCCCTTAAAACAGACCATAACCAGGTGAGAGAGTAGTGCAGTCAACGGTGATCAGTCTATGTGTGTTTGAGATTCCGCTGCTGATAGCAATAACACTTGATGTTTCATCTGTATTTATATATAACTTCTGTACAATTTCTAGAGTTGGTGTGTGTGTGTGTATGTCTAATCCTAGGCATGATTTTTCTTACAGTGGGTTATTAGAAAATGAAAATAGTAATTACCAGAATATCTTATCTGCCTGTGGTGGGTGCATGTGATGGAGGGTGTAAACTGGATGTAACAAATGACATCTGCTCTGCCTGCCCCAGTTTAGCAGCAAGAAATGATTTTACTGACAGTTAACGGTGTTTGTAATTTCATTGCAGGCAAGCTCTGACCCTCCTGTTTGACACCTATCAAAATGAGGTGGATAGCTTTCTGCTGGCTGAGGTAGGTTGCATGGCAACACATCAATGAGTTGAGAATCTTTTGTTTAGTACTCTGGGTAGACCTATATTTATTCTCCATTACATGCACGACAATCTTGAACATCGCTGTTAAATAAGTAATGGTTCGCTTTCATCCCACCGAACAAAGATGTCTTTGTTCCCTGAAATTTTCCTTAATTTTACTGATTTTTCCCCTGAGATGGCTGACATTTTTTTTCCCTAGATGTTCAAAGCTTCAGTATCCCTTTGGCATGTTTTTGGCTTTGACAGTGAGTCTAATGAGGAACAGAGAACAGCGATCGCAAGTCTTAACTTGCCCTTGCCCAAAGACTATGCAACCAGCATCTTCTGCAGCGACCATTCGGCTCACTAAGCAGTGGCCAGTTTTCTGGGGGCAGACCTTTTCATTTTGGATGCAATCGAGCAATGGCAGAAATCGTAAAGTTTAGGTTACAGTTCAAATGCCCAATGAAATTCACTTTCACAACCACAAATGTAAACTCTTCAATGAACTGTTTTAATCAAGCCGTAAAATAGAAAGATTTTCTTCTTTTCATTGAAAAATATTTCTTGCTGTACTTAAAGAGTAATAACCTGTGCAGTTTTATGAATCTAGTAGTGGATTAAATGAGTTTATCACCAAAACCACACATTTTTGATGAAAACTGTCCCATGATCTGTGGGTAATCTGACCTAAAATCACTGAAGATGATTTTTTAAAAAAAATGTTGTGAAGACCTATTTAGTAGTTTTACTGATGGACACCAGTTAGCTTCTTATTAAAGCAAATATTTTTTGACATGAAAAATCTTTTAAAATGTGCCTGCTAATGCCTTTGCGCCTGGAAAAGTGCAATTTGAAAATCCTTTCCAAACCAGTGCATTTTGAAGGATTCTTACAATTCTGTCAGGAGGA